TAATTGATTTTGTGGCTGTTTGGGACGCTTGAAGGAGACCTGGTGGCATAGCACCTTGAACCCCCCAGCCACTCTGTGGAAGAAAGATGAGTCTTTGGAAAGATTCCACCTTGGAAGCCCTAGGGAGTAATTCTAGTCTTCCCTATAGGGTTGGTTTGAGTTGGGTTGGGGAAGTGGAGAGGGGAGATCTGATATCAGACTATCTCCATTGTTCTTCAAATTAATATGTTTACTCCATCTTAATGTAAAATTATGAGTATTATTTGATGACAGAAGGTTTTCAACCTTTACTAATGGTTTTTGATTTGCTGGTAATTATTATTGCTAAGATGATATTGTCTTTCATTATGTGACAATGTAGCCTATGACAGAGAATTCTCCTGCAAAATGAACTCACTGCTAGCAGGTCGATTCCAACTTTATAGCCATCTTATAGCTCTGTCCGGTGCGTCGAAGACTGTGACTCTTTATGGGAGTGGAAGGCCTCAGCCCCAAATCAGAGCATTCATTACCAGAGTAATGAGAATAATAGATTTCAGTTTCCAGGTTGTATTTTCTAAGTCACTTGACCAATAAAATCACCAATTCTGACAATAAGATTCTATTAACTTTTAAATTTTGTTTAATAAAATAGTTTATGTAAATATTTCCCTATGGAAAGATTATTATGAAATTTTGAATGTTAGTAAGATCAGTTCCTTTTCTTTTATTAATTTAAAAAATGTATTAATGATTAATCAAGATTATAAATCCCTGTCTTTCATAGATAAATAAAAGAACTATACCGGGACGCATTCACATTTTCAAAATCTCAAAGAAGAAGTAGCATTATTTAATATGGAACAAAAACCTTGTGAAACACATAATGAAGATCTTTTTTCAAGTAGTGGCATCGCATCCAACGGAGGTATGTAGGCTATATAAAACAAAATGGGGAAAATATTATAATTAAGTGGTCCTTATATTATTCAGGCAAGCTGTTGCCTTTCAATATGTTTTATTTTTAACTGTGCATTGCACAATGAGTCCATGGTCTTAGTCTTAATGTTTTTTAAAAAACAGCATATCTATTTTTTAGCTTATGTTTTAGCTTATCCATTTGAGTCTAAAAAATTGTTTCACTTTTGAGGTACTTCAGCCTTAACATGTTTCATGTTTCCCTAATGCCTTCTCTTCTTCCTGTTGCTTCTTGGTCCACCCAGTCAGCTAAGCCATTTTGACTTCCCTTCCTACCCCTCACGTCCAGCCAGTACCTACACTTCTATCAGAAATGTACCCTGGGTCAATTTTTCTCTCTCTCCCTATAACTACTACCCTAGTTCAGGCCCTCATCACCTCTGACAAGAATTACTTCATAGGGGGCAGGGAGGGAGGGGAAAAAGAGGAGCTGATACCAAGGGCTCAAGTAGAAAGCAAATGTTTTGAGAATGATGATGGCAACAAATATACAAATGTGCTTGACACAATGGATGGATGTATGGATTGTGATAAGAGTTGTACGAGCCCCCAATAAAATGATTTTTTTAAAAAGAAGAATTACTTAATAAGGGAGGAGGTGGGGCAGACAGAAACAACTCTAGGTTCAATCGGCAGGTAGAATTTAATACAGAGAATTGGTTACATAGGTATTAAAAAAGCTGAGAAGCCTGAGACAGCCTAGAGATTAGCAACTGCATGCATCTGCTACCATCCTTTGAGCTAGAACCACAGAGGGAGCTTAAGCCACAAAGGAGTACTACCAACAGATCATTGGAGGCAGAGTAAGAGGCAGCGTTACCATGTTTTCTCCCCTCCTCCAGACTGCTTAATTCTCACTTGTGTATAATTGAAGACTTCTTCTGCTCACATCCACGTTTGCTAAACTCCCTAACCCCCATAGTCTTCCCCTCCATTGTACCCTCTCTCACAGCCCTTCCCATCCTTCCTTTCACTTCTCTTTCCTCATGGATCTAATAAGGGGGCATCTAATATACTGTTTTTCATCAAAGCATTTTATGAACAAGTTAATGAGTGAATTATGGAATTCTTTTAACATTTAGGTTCAAGTCCATTTTTTATGTCATCTATTCGAGGTACAATAATTGAAAACACATCTTCATCTGGGACTTTGACACAAATTCCTTTTTTCCCTAAATATGAAGTAGAACTTGATTCTCATAGAAAAATCATCTCATTCCCTGGAAAGGAACACATCGAACGTGTTTTAGAAGAATATTCACAACAAGTCAAAGATTTGCAGAGAAAATTAAATGAAGTAAGTTGCATCTTTGTCTTCTAAAACACCAGAGTATGGTCTTTGGGGGAGGGAAGAAATGAAGCACATTACCTTGGAGTAACTTCCTGAGCAGGGGGGGGGAAGAATATATATTAAAATATATGTATATATTTTATGTATATAATTTATGTATAAAATATATATTAAACTTATTAAATCTGACTTAAGTCTTCTATTATAGTATTAAAAATTGAATTGATATTAAGTCTATATGACGGGGTACCCCAAAACACCCCAGAATTATTATTTTTTTCCCCAAAGCTAAGTATTTAAATTTTTTTTAACACAACAACTGTATCACCTTTAAAGTACTCTCCATTACACTTAATACATTTGTCAAAATTACGATTCCATCCTTGGAAATATTTTTCAAACCCATCTGTTTGGATGGCTGACAGCACCTCCTTCATTTTTTTCTTCACCTTGTCTACATGGTCAAATCGCTGTCCTTTCATGTCCCTCTTCATTCGTGGAACCAAAAAGAAGTCTAACAGGGGAAAAAAAAGTCTAACAGAAAGAGGTCAGGTGAGTCAAGTGTGTGGGGCAAGAGAGCCATTCTGTTTTTTCCCAGAAACTGGCACACTGAGATGACGGCGTGAGCAAGTGCATTGTCATGCTGGCAAAACCAGTCCCCCATCTGCCACCAATCAGGACTTTTTTGTCACACACTCTTACTCAGTCTTTTCAGAACCTCTCAATAGAATGCTTGATAAACAGTCTGACCTGGTGGAACGAACTCCAAATGCACTGTCCCCTCATATCAAAAAACCAAATGAGCATTGTCTTGATCTTTGATTTCATTTAACGAGCTTTATTTGGTTGAGGTGACAATTGGCATCTTCCAATGGCGTGCCTAAGAATAGCATCATGTCTCATGACCAGTAATGACCTTGGAAAAAAAGTCTGGGTTGCTTCAGAGCTGTTCTTTCAAAGCACAGCATATTTCCACTTGACACTCATTTTTCTGGTCAGTCAGAACCTGACACACACGTTTTTCAGCGACCCTTCTCATTCCCAAATCTTCCGTTAAAATTTGCTGAACTGAGCTCCAGGATAGTCCAGATAACTTCCCCATCTCTTCAACGGTCTGTGGTTCGTCTTCCAGCATAGGTGCATGAATTTTGTTGTCATTTTCGTCCATTCGGGGAGTTGACAGTTGTCCGGAACGAGGTTTGTCATCAATCAACATTTCACCTTTTTTGAAATGACAAAATCACTTCTACACTTGAGCTTTTCCCGTAGCACTGCCCTTGTAAGCTGTGTTTAACATCACAACAGTTTCTGTGGCATTTTTCCCGAGCAGGAAACAAACTTTCAAAGTTGTACCTTGTTCTCTTAAATCGGCCATCACAAAAAACAAGGTTTAAGCAAAACTGCTTTTACGAAAAAATTCACTGTGACCTGAGAACCTTCCCAGATTATGCCACTGGGTGTACCAATACAAAAGCTCTGCCCCGTGGAGCTTTTTTCCATTTTTTGGTACCCCCTCATATACCTATTTCCTACTGTTAGTAATAATTAATAATGCCTTGGTTTCCTAGTGTTATTTTAATAAAGCTTGATGGTTCCGGATGTTATAATTCATAATTTAATCGACATTTTCTTTATGGTATTGCTAAATAATATTTGAAAGTACCATGGACTGCCAGAAGAACAAACAAATCTGTCTTGGAGGGTGTATAGCCAGAATGCTCCTTAAAAGTGAAGATGGCAAGACTTTATCTGACGTACTTTGTACGTGTTATCAATAGAGACCAATCCTTGGAAAAAAGGGCATCATGCTTAGTAAAGGGTCGGTGAAAAAAAGAGGAAGACCCTAAACCAAATGGATTGACCCAGTGGGTACAGCAGTGGGCTGAAATATAACAGCACTGTGAGAATGGCACGTGACCAGGCAGCGTGCTGTCCTGATGTACATCACTGCGTAGATCACTATGAGTTAGAGCCAAGCTAATAACACTCAACAGCAACAATCCCCCAAAAAGGAATCCCTCAACAGGACAGATTGACCCTTGCAACAGAGGGCTAAACCATAGCAATTGTGAGGATGGCTCAGCACCGGGCAGTGTTTTGTTCTGTTGTACACAGGGTGACTAACTCAACATCACCTAACCACAACAGTTTTGAGCATTGACCTTGGATGTAACAGACTTTTACTAGGTCCGATTATATAAGGATAAATAAGACCTGGTCTCATCTATTTATACATTTGTGGTTTTATGGATGGGGTATTTAAAATAAGAAATGATGGTGACAGTGTGATCTGTGCAACAAAAGTGATAGAATGCAAGATGGGGTTGCAACATACCTGCATGAAGCAGGGAACCAGTAGAGAGGTCTGAGGGGCCCGTCCCAACCCCAACTA